TGTGTGTGTGTGTGTGTGTATTTGCTTAACGTTATTGTACGCATAAATTGTAGAAATCTTTAAGTGACGTATTGATATATTAGATTGTAGATAATTGATTTGATGGAAAACTCTATTTTAAAATTGCAATTTTTTCAGCAAAAATTATGCACAAACTAAATTGTCACTTTTGAACTGCTACTTACTGAACGCTGTCACATAGTCGATTTAACCGGGATTACACTGTAGAATACAAATCACTTAAATAGTAATTTTACTATTTCACTGAGCTCATTTTCTTAATAGGTTATTTTGCATCGAAAAGCAGAGGAAACAAGTATCTTTGTAATAATTCATTCTTTCGTAGAAATTAGTATACGATCTTTTTAGATGCAGTTCTATTGCCCTTCTAATAAAACATGTGCCACTGGCACGAGAATAAATCAAGATAAATAGCGGGAAGATTGCACCGGTTGGTTTTTATCATTTGTCAAGAATGTAAATACACTACGTACGTTTCAACTGCAAAACCACCCTAAAATTTTCGATCTGTACAGATACAAAGTCTGAGGTGCAACGCAATAAAATCTACTCAGAATTATGCAAAATTGAACGCAGAAAATCGACGGGTGCTTGCCTTGTTGAAGTAAGTTGAAAATAAATGCACGATAAATAACTAACTTCAATAAGTAAAGTAACTCTCCTGTCAATTTACTTTCCATAATCTCGAAGAGGAATTGGAAATATACATTGGCTTTCGATATGGTAATATTACACGATGAAGAATACTATCAAAGTCGAATACCACAACCTGACTTAGGACCTCTTAGAAACTTTTTGCGATTCGTTTGGGATAATGAACGAAAAGCGTTTCTTGACAGAACAGCGAAAGAATGGGGTATAACAGTTTGTACACACATTAAGAGTTACAACTTGATATACGTAGTTTCAAATAAATAAAATTTCACGACGCAATTGAGGAAATTAGTGGTATATTGCATTAATCTAGTTACAGATCCGGTTTTTTCATACGCTTTGTTATAGTTCACGGGGAAAAATATAACCTCGCGTCATTAAACATGTTAACGTATATTTGAAATTCAGGCCAACTGGGAATGTTTTACTTGTGCTTCTTTTTCATCTTGGGATCCATATTTGCGATACAAATGAAAATCAGCATAGACTATGTTTCTAAACTGGACAGACCATTTTTCCAATACTCTGGCTTTTCTTCAAATTCATTCCTCGGAGTGAAAGTACGCCATTACCGTTCTACATTCGGTAGCCCAGGTATCGGTCATTAACGATATTTAATAAAAAAAAAAAGTTGCAGTGAAAATCACCTGTAGAATGAGAATTATAGTGGTGTAAGTCGATTTGCTACTACTGTTACAATGTCCTGCGTTTATTATTATAAGAACGTCACTGCACTCGTAAGAATAAAGTAACGAAATAATTACGAAATCGAGGATACATTCGAAATTTGAAAACACGTGACTAAACACATCGATCTAGATCCTCGGAAATTTTCACTTACACCACTGTAATTTTCAATCCGTTCAACAAAGTAATTACCGTGTATAATCCTAAGTTAATTAATAATGCGTTAAACAGAATACATTCAGTAAAATAACGTTAAACAGAATACATTCAGTAAAATCTTTCTAAAGGAATAGTTTTTAAACCAAACAGCGTGTCAGCTACGTCACCCATCATTTCGCTGAATAATTCGACTAATGATACCGGCCCGGAAAGGTACATCCGTGCTCTGTCCGATTTTTTGCAAGGTATATATTACAAAATATTTATATTACAGTTCGCATGTGTGGTGCGTTACTTAAACTTATAACTAGACTGCGGATATTTACTTTCATTTATCGACTCGGGTTTCGTCTCTAATTCTAATCACCCGTACATTTTATACGTATGCACGCATTTTTGCAATATTGTGCATACTTTGTACATTTTTTTATAAACGCACGGAAGTCAACAGTATATTTATAATATATTTTCTTTACTTTTTTTTTTTAGAGTATCGTAACAACATGTCCAATTACGATTTCGACTGCCTTAATGAACCTTCGAACACCGATCGCAAGGAAAAACCTTGCTTCTTCGATGTAGCGTCTCTTGGGAAATGTAGCAAGCCTCCGTACGGTTATGCAAAATACCCCTTGCAGCCTTGTGTTCTCGTTAAATTCAACAAGGTAAATTTCTCGTAAACGAAGCTGCGGATGTGTATAAGCGCATCTGTAAAAAATTTAAAAGCGCGAGAGATGAAGAAAAGAAAAAAGAAGAAAGAGCATATGTATGTTGTAGAGGTTCGACTGGGTACCTGAACATTATAATCAGTCCTCGAGTTTGCCGGAAGATATGCCGATTGGATTAAAACAGGCAGTACAAACGTCTCCAAAGGTATAATTTAGCATTTCATTTCTGTAATAATATCTCTTTAAGTAATATTATATAATGTAAATATAAATAAAATAATAACTTTACGTAAGCCTCACATTTGGTTGTCGTGCGACGGAGCGAATAACGTTGATAAAGAGCACATCGGAGAAATAGAATACATTCCACTTCCTGCATTTCCAGTTCAATATTTTCCCTTTACCGGACAACCAGGTTACCTGTCCCCTATTGTCGCATTGAAATTCAAGAATTTAACGCGTAAGTATCAAGCCCCCATTTTGGCAAACTTATCCATGTTACTTTCATAAATTATTGCAGCGAATAGATTAGTAACAGTGGAATGTTATTTATGGGCGTGCAATATCAAGCAACGTTCCCGTTATTCGCTAGATTTCCAAATAATAATAGGTAAAAACGAAAGAAAAAAATATCCACCAACGACAAGATGTGTATTTAACGATAAGTAAATTTTTCCACAGAGAGTCATAACTCGTCGTACAATTACTAATTGCAAGAGGAAGTAGACAAAAATTGTTCTGTTAAAAAAAAAAAGAAAAAGGTATATTCAGTAATTCAATTCAGTAGGAAGATAAAAGTGAACAAAAGAGTAAAAAAAGTACGTGCAAAAAAGGATTCCATTTTTGCTATTTAGTTGCAATATCGTTTGGCCTTCTACGTGTAACCATATGGGAAGATTTATTTCATCAGTTTCAACGTGTGAAATCCAATTTACAATAAAGTGCGATCTACGGTATGCTTTTTATGTATCTTGTGACAAGAAACACGTGAAGCCGTGTGACCTTGACTGTTTCTGATCTGAGGTTGCATAATCTGAAAGATAAAATCTAATACCTTGCTATATAATTGCTACATATCATTTCAAAGTGAGCGAGATACGAATGCAAGCTAATAAATCACCATTTAAAAATACATTGTGAATGAAATTGATAATAACAATTGAGAATATATAGTATGACGAGTTGGATAATAAATTTAAATTGTAAACGTATCTTTTGCCTTAAAAGATAATTACAAAAAAAGATTATGTCTACTTCACTAATTCAGTAGCTTGTAAGTGATTATGGAAATTTGACTTTCAAAGGGTGTATGTGAATTTGAAAAGTCATTATTTAGTGCAATGATAGATCGCACAAAATATTAAAAAAAAAAAAAAAATTCACTTGACAATTTCCATAAATTTTAACGTGCATACACACACGGATACGTACGACGTACAGAGAATATATTCGCTTCATGGTTTACTTGTCTACTTACCGTATACTAAAAGATCAACGATCTGTAAGTAGTATTTTCCATAAACGAGGACGTGCTACGATCGTCCTATCACGAGCAATCATACAAGGTTTCAACTTTCAAAGTTCGATTCGTTTGCTTACATATCGGTTTCAAACTCGAGGAAAATTTCCATCATTCTCAAGTTAATTAGTGTATTAATACAACACAGGAAGTACAACACAGATATATATATTGTATACACACTGCAGTCCACTTATCAAAATTTCATTGATAATATTTCAGTTCATGAGAACCACAAGAAGAAGATACAAATACAGATAAAGAAGTAAGAAGAACCGGCGGTGTTGCTAGTAAATAAAAAAGAAAAGGCAATTGAATAGGAGAGGATGAAGAGCGATGTATCGATTTTCGATTCGAGCGTGTCCAGCACGTAACAAATGAAATTCATCCGATAAGATACGGTGAACGAGCGGGGCCTAATCATGGTAACTAATCGATTGATACGAAAATTGTTATAACCGGAGGAGTTAGGTTGTTGCTGGCAGCTAAGTGTGAGTCAGCCATAAGGCGAGCAGCGCGTAGACTCTCCGACATATCTTACAGCATTTCCCACTACTCGATCGGTAGACGTAGGACCGCGGCCGATCGTGGTCGCGCCACCGAGCTTTACTACACGCGGTATCGCTCAGCTCACTGCGAGATAGCAAGAACAGTGAGCTGTTTCAGCTCAAGCGGAGTGTAAGCTCGCTCGACGACACGGAGCGGAGCTTCTAATTTCTCGTCTATCTCTGAGCCTGTCGTGTAATAAATCGAACTTCCCGACACTTCGGATCGGCACGAGGTCGTTCGATCGAGAGATCCGCGTGAAAGTCGATCGATAAAGAGTTTCGCGAGAGAACATAGTCGCTCGGAATGAGCATGCCGGGCAAGCAATTGCAGAATGGTACCTACGAGTTCGATTACAAACGAGTGTCCGAGCAAAAGTCGCGCTGGAAATCTCTGCAAGATTTCGTCCACGACCCGGTCGAAGGCACTTACTGCGGTCACACGGGAAAGAAATGGGGTAATTATTTTCTGATACGTAATTGAACATTAGAGGCCAGATTAGAGATTATTGAATGAACGATACGTTTGTACGGGCGCATGGATAGCATGTGCTTCGGCCTGCATAGACATCTCAGCGTTTCCGACACACTTGCACACACTGCCGTTTTCAACTGGCATTTGAAAATCATTGTTCCTCTCACCGTTGTATCGTTGTGTGTTATTAGCTTTCTAAATGGTAAATGATTGTTTGAAATTCTTACCCTCTGTGTCAGCGACGTAAGCGTGAAGTCGAGCTGAATGCCTAAATCAAGTGCCGAGAATTAGGGCTTCCTTGACTTTGCTACGTGCCAACGGGACGTTACCCGCGGTATTCACCGTTTTTGTCGTTATCTTTCTCGTCGACAGTCTGACACTGTCTTATCCAAAAGAGAATGCAACTAGATTCGACACATTATACATATGTAAATATACACATTTGTATATTGGTTAAAGTAAATTTTAAAATGAGCTTAAAGTTCGTGTGTTTATCTGTTGTTTGGCAACAATAGAATAGAAAGAGCACGGGAAATAAATAAAGAAAGAAATTGTTAAAGATGGCCCGTGTTAAATGAAATTGTTATCGGTGACACTGAAATTGTCGAGTGCTCTATATAAGACGCGATAAGAAATTAAGAATCATATTAATTGACCTTCCTTCCGCGACGATTCCTCTAAATCTTTCACTTTTAAATGTTCACGAAATTATAATTATAAAAAGTTCATTATTTTATAACGACACTGTAAACCATCGGTTTCGTTAACGATAATAAATTTCGACAAATATTTAGAGTAGTTGAATGTCTGCAAATTTCCTTCGCTCTATCTCATTTCAAAGTTCCACAGTGTGTTTGCTCAACTTCAAACTTTGTTGTATTTCGGTTGACAAATACTAGAGAAAGAGATAAAACAAAATTGTATAAATATGGAATTTCTGTAAATGATAGGAAGATTGTACAACACATATTGTACAATTATTACCGGTAAATATATAATATTTCGAGCAAGTATTTTACTTTAATGTATGATAAAATGTATGAAAATTTCAATGTATCAATGTTTGGAATCAGCCAACTATTTCTATGTTTTAAACACTATCCGTATGTTAGTTTATTGAAAAAAGAAATTATATTATTTATACATTAGTTGTTAATTAATAGTAAAACTTGGATTTCTATTGTGTTATAATGATTTGTTATAACTTTTAAGAAAAATGAATCGGTGTATTTGCAAAGTTGAGCAAAAAAAAAAAAAAGTATCTGTTTTTAGCATCTACTTCAAAAAAACTGAACGATTCAGAGAAGAAAACGTGTGTACTGTTCTTGAACATATATTTAACCGAATACGTAATCAAAACTGCATTAGAAATAACTACATATTGGAACGTCAATATATAACTGAAAAGTTACAGGTGACTTATAGAAAAATTTACGTAGAATGCAGTTCCATTTAATTCAAGATTAATTCAATAGTTAATTTCATTCTTATTTTAAAAATTCAAAATTAATGTTCTGTATCGTAAAGTGTGATCTTTTAAACTGAAAATTCCTATAATCTCTGTCATAAATCATTTAAAACCTATGCAACGTGCTATCTATGTATATCTTAGTAGTAGGATTAATATTAGTATATCTTAGTATATTAGTATATTAGTATATTAGTATATCTTAGTAGGATTAATATTAATACTATTCTTTTTTTTTTATTTTCATCCGTTTAGGTAGTGCTCCACAATATTTAATTTTGGAATTAAAAGGAAATTACATCATTACTTAGACCTATTTTCCCTCAATTAACGAAACAGTGCATTTTGTCTTGGAAACGATATTTAATCTTCAACCAAATTTTCTCCGTATGGAAAAGAGAAAGAGAGACGAGGGAAGAAAGTGAAGGGACAGGAGAGCGAGAAGAACAAAGAATAAGATTTATTAGAGCGGAAGTAACTTCTGTTACGATTTATTGATATTAATGCTTCTAATGCCTCCTAATGTGATACAACATTATAAATGTGACATACTTAGAAAAATCTGTTATAAAATATCATATAGTAAATATCATTTACATCTAAAATCGATTTAATATATCATATATTAGCAAACAAGCTTTCATTCAAAAATAATCATTTAAACGAATAATTTTTATTCCATCTTATCTCAACTAATTAATTACTATTTTTTACCATTCTCAATCATGTTTCAGCTATAGTTTTTGTGTCACTGTATCAAGGATATA